GAGTATGCTACTTATTTTCCTTGGCGCTCATAAATTTTAATAGCTTGTAATTATTTGGAATGTCGGGACGGCAAAGTCAGTAGGCCACTCACCTCCTTGATAGTTTTCAGTGTTGTAAACTTGACTATTCAGTTTCAAATATCCAAACCAGGTTAACAATCTGTTTTCCAAAAGGTTGTTTTAATTAAATTTATTTCAAAACAAACCTCCTATGGGTTGTTACTGTGATGCAAGGTTTTCTTAGACACATTTGCTTTTAGTATATATAAAAGTCAGTTGTACTTACACTTTGAACGAACTTACAGCCTCTAAAAAGCTTTAAAAAAAAAAAAAAGAAAACTTCCCTCTCAATATTCTTTCATTAGATTGTTGTTTGAATGTATTTTCATCATCCGAAACATCTAAGAGATAGCTAATATCTTATATATTAAAATATTGGTAATATTGATTATCGACGAGGATGTCTTTGTCAGTTTCCTGCTTTATTTGGTTTTTGACTTTAAAGCCATGCTGGGATTTATACTTCCGCCTAATTAACGGCAATGATTTTGCGATTGGCTTTTATGGATCGTTCGTGTATCTGTTGGATGCATTCTAATAGCCGGTATCTGTAATTAGACCTGTCTGAGAATCATGTTTACTGCGCACTGCTTCTTTCCAACTTGCTTTCTCAAGGTGCTAATAAAGTTGTCAGCTAATAATTGACGATAGTCGTGGATAAGCGATTGATAAAGAATGTTTTGGTGTAAGAAGTGGAAGTAAACTTGAACACAGCGTAAACTCATTGAAGATGAAGTTGTTTGCATGAGGAAAATCTTAATTAAATTTTAAAAATTCTAATAACTTGTAGAAGTGGATAACATAAATATTTCTGGGTAAAAAATAACAGTAGTAGGTAAAATAAAAATTGTAATAAAAATCGAAAGAGTAGGAAACTCACTTTTGTTGTTTTCAAAATGTATTATATATTAATCCTTCATACAATTTACTTCAAAAAATCTCTTGAGTATAATAACAATATCCTCTGCTATTTTCTCATTGTGATAAATCTGTAGATTATCATAGTAAAGACGACCACTAAGCATATATAGCTATGCCTGCTCATTATATCCCTACTCCCGATCCTCACCATACCCCGCCACTTTCAACGCCTCTGCGAGCAAACTCAATTACTTAGAGAACACGCTGTTGGCCCGCAGTTCCCGTCCAACTCCCAGTCCCCATTTAGAGCCCTAAGGCGATTCCTGGCTTTGGCTTTTACTTTGACTTTGGCTGGCAAACTTAAAATGCAAACATTTGCGCCGAGCCTCAGAAGAGAGGGAGGGAGCCACTTCTTTTCCTGCATGGCCATGCCTGTTTTTGCCTTTTTGATGATTACAAATTAATCACACTTTAAACATGGCAATTACGCTCTGGAGAGGAGAGCCAGAAGCCGGCAAGAGCCGGCAGAACTTGCATAGATACATGGCCTCGGCGAATGTATCTCTCTTGGCTTCCTCAGCAGCAGCGGAGTTCGCTTCTTTTATATGGAAAATTGCTTCCTTTCGCTGTTTAACTTTCGTTTTAATAAATAATCAAGTAGGCTCTGAGTTGGGAGCCGAGCTCCACTTGAGCTGTTTTAAGCTTCACTTTGGCTTCAGGAACACTGGAAAAAATACGGGAAATTTAAAGAAAAAATGAAGGAAAATTAGACTTGAGATATCTTGTAACCACACGTTGACATTTCTTAATTTATGCTTAAATTTATATAAAAATTAAATTTAAATGGGCGAGATTCAAAGGAAATTGTTGACAATTGCTAGGAACATGTTGCGAGACATCCAAATAAATTAAAATGTTGCTAAGACAATGTTGAGCAACACCTATAGATGTTGCAGAAGCAAGTAAGAAAGCTCTTATCAATGTGCTGCGCAAAAACATTATTTTTTTTTATTTTAAAAATTTAAATTAATTTCAAAAAGTACTAATTTCTCTTCAGTGCACTTGCTGCTCTTGACTGCCGCTGTTCGTCAAGTCTCTCGTGTAATTTCCAGGCAATTTCTCATACCCATAATTGCATAATTTCAAAGTTGTTGGCAACTTAATTGCGCTGCACATTGGACCAGGACCAGGGCCAGTGAGAGAGAGAGAGAGACCCATTCTCGGACCGGCTTCTGCCGCTGTCTTCGGTGTAAATAAAACCTTTTTAAACGCTTGTCAGGCGGTCGAACCCACGTTGGTCCTAACAGCCAACAGCGACTTCAAAAGCGCGCATCATCGTCAAACATGTGTTGGACGGACGGTACCCGGAGATTTCTCCTTCTGACCGCCCCCGCCCCATTAGCATCCAGTGCCTACGTCCTTCGCCTGGCGGTCATTTGGCATCAAAGTTAATATGCTTTATATTAAATTCTGTTGCCTCCTGGCCTCGTTCTCAGTCTGTCTCTCTGCCTGCCTGGGGATTTTTTATAATCTGCATCTGCCGCCGCACTTCGACGGACTCACTTCCCCTTGGAATCTTGTTTGTGGAATCGTTTTTTATTTCTTTCCCTTCCTCCGTTTCCTCCGGTATGATGCAAACATTTTGCATTAAATTACTCAATTAATTTCACTTAAATGAAAAACAAAGACAATGGTTGCTTTTAATGTGAGATTATTGGAAATGGAAATTTTTCCACCAGGAGAATTAACAAATTTGACGTGAAAATCGGGTATATTTGGTTGGAATTAAGATAAGTTATTGGGATAATTTTATAATACGAAGAAGTAACCTCGTAAACTCTCTGAAAATTCATAAAAAGTCTATTCAAGAGACAGCCTTAAGATTCGTAAATTCTTACCCAAAATAAAATTCCATTTCTCCTAACAAGTTCCAGAGTTCCAAGCAATTCTCCAGCTGCCTCTAGGCCCATTTGCCCAATGCCTAAACCCTTTTTATTCCCCTAACTTCTAAGATTTCCCCATATAACCACAGGGAGAAGAGAGAGAGCTACCAGGAGAAAGGCTCCCCCGGTGGGTACACTAATCCAAAGCTTCCAAATTGATTTATGGTCACATTTCTTGCAAATGAGCCAAGCAAATCAAAACAAGACAGCTAAGTTGGAGCGTATATTTCTGGTGATTCCCGTCCAGCCCACTACTTGCCTGGACTGGCCATTGCCCATGTGGACTGGCCACAGAGCAAGCGAAATGCATTTGGCACGCAATTACGGCCCAAAGTGTTAATTGCATTTCCGCTCTGGCTGGACTCTGTAGAGCCAACCAGAGGAGCTGAGTCTCTAGCAGAAGCAGAAACAGGAGAAAAAGCAGGAGCAGGAGCAGCAGCAGGAGCTAGAGCGGCAGCTGAAGCTATCCAAGCCATCAAATGCGGTACGGCCCTCAACTCACGCATTTGGCATTAACAAGAGGCCGGCCTACTCACACTGTGGAAAAAAGAGATGCATAAAATTGAAAAAAAAATAAATAAATAAATAAACAAAAAGTAATAAAGAGTAAAAAAGTAAGATCAACATGGCTATTACCCTTTGTCTATTATATATTAAATAAAAAGCGGAAAAGCAGAAGAAAATGTTGACAATTCTTAAGAACGTGTTGAGCAACACCCAAATAAATTCTGGGAATATGTTGAGAAACATTGATCAGAGAAGTCTCCAAATTATGTATTCTAACTTTAAACTTACTTTATAAAATTAAAAATTTGTATGCCCCCTTACTTTTAGAACGAACATGTTCCTTCAATCCCTAAAATGTAATTTTAAAAAATTAAAAAAACTCCCCTAACTTTCCTCTTAGTGCATTTAAAGAAGGAACTGGCCAAGACCAAAGCCAAATCCTAGCCAAAGCCTTTGGCTGAGATAAGCAAGCGGCGGCCGAGTTAACGGAGCTTTTTGTGCCGCGCAAAAGGGGGGGAAGGGGGCTCTAAGCCAGGTCTCTAGAATTGGCCAAGACGCATGCGTGGCATTGGCCAGTCCAGACCGAAAACGTAGCACTAAAGTCCAGACACGCAGCATGAGGCGAAACTAAGTCAAACATTTGTAGAACAACTCGAGAGAGGAGAAGATCGCAGAGGACTAGGTCCAAGACGGGACTTCCCGGGGGAATTGCGGCTAGAGAAAAGTGGAAAATTTATGGGCCCCAAAAGGCGAATAGATGTCGTAGATTCCGCATGCTGCAAAGCATAGTTAAGAGTTGTGGAAGGAGTATAGTATGTATGTTAAATATAGGTTGGGGAAAACAGATCGGTGCCCCACAATGTGGAAGATAGTAATCTTTTTCCAAAGATAACCCAAAAAATACAAACAAAAAATTAAGAAAAAAAAAAAGAAAATGCTGGTGAACTTCCCTTGAACCCCCTGTTTTTTTTTTTTTTTTTTTTGCAGGCCAAAAAGTGCTTTTTAATTGGTCGAAAAGGCAATTTGCATAGGAGTTATCCAGTCTGACACTCGTAACTGGTCTCCGGTTCCAGCCCGCCATCGCAGCTACATGTGGCCACATTTCCAGTGATAAGCCGCAGCCAACATGTTGGCCAGCTGTCGATGCCACTTTTGGCCAGGCTCCCAATCTCAAAGCTCTCAAAGCTAAAGCCGAAACCAAAGCCAAAGCCCCATTCCCTGTGGCATTTCTGGCATTTGTATTGGCAAATCAATGGTAATGACATTTATTTGAGCCCAACTCTGAAGCGTTGGTTGCGCGTTCTTATGCGGCTTTTGCCGAAAATCCGTTAATAAGCCATTTTGACAAATTGGATGATTGCAGGCAACGCAATCGCTTGGCTCTGCCAGTAGCAGATGGGACCACGTCAAGGATTCCTTTGACAATTGTAAAAGTGTTTGGCGAAAGTGAAGATAAAATGTCAGGCTGAAAAGCTTCGTGGAAGATGGGGAAAATGGTGTGGAAATGGAGGGGAAATTGTTGGAGTTCTTGCACTTAAAAGAAAGTTATTTTAGTGTAGTTTTTGAACTTTATTTTAAAGAATTTAATATTTTATTGAATTTTAATTATATTTTGCAGATAAATTTGTTTGTTTATTCTCCCCAAGAAGCATTTCCTTACATCATATCCTTTTGATAGCAGGTAATGGTATTTTGGCACTCTGAATCGTGCACCTGGTGGAAAACTAAGAAACAAAATTTTATAAAATAAATTAATATATTATTTATACAAATAAAATATTTACAAAATCCTTACCATTCTTGGTGTTGAAGCAATTCCACTGGCTCAGCTCACATTGGCCCGGAAAATTGACCACACACTTGCCATTGCTGGCGCAGATGTTGAGGGCCTGACGGGGACACTCAAAGTTGCATTTTCCCAGCTTGATTTCCTCGCGATGATGGGCCAGCAGCTGGGGTATGTGGGCGTGGACCTGGTTGACTATATTCGAGACTTTTGGTGGAATAACCAAGGCCCGACCGGTTTTACCAGGGTTGTGTTCAATGTCCTGCTGTTCCTTTTGCTCTCCTACAACCTCTTTGTCCTTATTGTTGTCCTTGTCCTTTTGCAGTTCCTCTTTTTCCCTCTGCGCCTGCTGTTCCCTCTTCTTTTGTATGGCTTGTTGAAGTGCCAAAGGAATGTGTTTTTCGGCCTGTTGCATCACCTTGGCAACATGCTGCTGTAGCTTTTGCAGTTTTTCGGCCACATCAATGGGTTCTTGGTTACCGAGCAACGGGTGCACCACCAGCCCCACTGGCGGCATTACCACCTTATTTTGCACCACCGGCCTGCCCTGATGAATCAATGTACCGATGGCCTGATGGTTGGTCACCGTTCTCACCTGTGGATGGCCAGCTTGCACCGGCTGTAGGCCAGATTGCACCGCAGATGCAGACGCTGGGCGGTCAACAATGGCAAGGGGAGGGACATCACCAGAGTGTGCCAATGGTGGAAGGAGATCTGGATAGGGCTTGACCACTGGCGCGCCATTGATACTCCCACTTTGACTCCAACTCCCAGCGGAGGAACTTCCACTTCCACTTCCACTCCAGCTGCCTGCAGAGGTACTTCCACCTATAGCTCCGGTCAATGTGTTGGAATTCTTGTTCTTCACATGCTGGAGCACCTGATTGATGTGGCTAGTTGTCAGGTTTTGGATATGCACCGGAAGCTCTGTCTGGCCCTGAACCTGGGGCTTCCCTCCCACCGTATTGGTTGTTGTGGTCTCTGTGGTCTGGGGCAATTCTGCGGCTTGTCCCAGCGACAGAATGGCTGCTGGAAAGTCAAGGATTCACTTAGTAAATGTTGGTTTAAGGAAAACCCAGAGCTTTAGTTCTTAGTTGACTTTATAAATAATTAATTAATGAATTTAGGTTAAAACTTACCAATAATTAAGATAACTTTCATGTTATTGCTTATAATCCACACTTGTGTTCCTTTTCCTTAACTCCCAAAAGGCGTTCTGTGACTCTTCTCCGAATTGTAAGCCCTTTATAAAGGCTTCTGAAACGTCACCAGGTTTGCCAGCGATTTGTTTAATAACATTTGCTCATGTTATTATTTGGTTTTTATGTTAATTCTCGGCACACGAGCTGGGGAACAGGTTTTCCGTCTTTCTTTTTCTGTCTGCTTCTGTTGCGCTTGAACGGACCGGTGAGCTGAGAATTGGATTTACAAGGAAAGGTGCGGGAAAGGTGTTAGGGAAAGACTTAACTTAATCGTTTCCTTATTGAAGAATATTTAAATATTGAAAATTATGAGATATTTTTGGTGAGCGTTAAGAAATTATTTATTTAGGCAGCTAAAATAAGACAAAAAAGAAATAAAATCAAGAGCCTTTACATGCTTGATTTGTATATTTAAAGAAATATATAATATATAAAATATTTAAAAAGTATAAGAAAAGTTTAAATTAACCTATAATTAATGTTGAACAATTTTTAAATAACAGAAAAATGTTTATAAATTTTAGATAATAGGAAAAATCCTAATTTGATATATAAAATTGTCATTTATAAACAGATTTATTATATATTTCTGCCAAAAAGAATTATATTTTTGTTTTTACGTAACAATATTTTGTTTTCCTTTTTACTGTATTAGTTATTCTTAATTATTCTTAAATTCTTAAATAATTTGAGGTCTTTAAATGTTTTTAAAATTATAATAATAAAAAGAAAATGTGGGGTTTCATTATGAATTTTAGCGCCGCCTTTCCAGCTAAGCGGAATTTCCCGTAACCAAGAGAAAAATCCACACAATTAAAAGTCAACTTTTAGGCGAAACCGACAGTAAAAGCCAGCCAAACAAAAACCAAAATAAAAAGCCACACAAAAAAGCTAAATAAAAAATATGCAAATTTTTTATTGCTTTATTTTTGGCAAGGGCGTAACGTTTAATTACAAGGCAGATAAGAATAAAAATGACAGCCAAATGACAGTCAAAGCTGTTGAATGCTGCTGCTGCTTCTGATGATGATGATGATAATGCTGATGGTGACGATGCATTTTAATATCTTTCTGGCAGGTGTTAAAATAAGAGATTATGCAGGGAATCAGGAAGGACAGACCGCAGAGCAGGCGAAACCAAAAGCTTTTGTTGGGTATATAAAATCAAAAACAGTCGCTGGAAAAATCAACAGTTTTACAGTTGCTGCGAAAACAGCAAGGTAAAAAAAATACACCAACAGTCTCCGCCTGAAAATTCTACACTTTAAGCAAAATGAAGTCCTTTGTGCTCATCTTTCTGGGTAAGTTGTGGGCTAAAATATCATTTAATAATTTAATAAGTTATTTTTTTATAATTTTCCTTCAAGTTTTCACTGTCTATGCCTCTGCTAAAGTAATGCCCATGTCGGGTGGCAATAGTCTGAGCATTGATCAGCATGGAAAAAGGGTTTACTCCGTTCAAATTGAGGACAAATGCGACTTTTTCTGCCCCGAAAAGGATCCTTCTGTGTGCGCCACCAATGGACAGTGCCTGCTAAAGTTCGACAGTCGCTGTGCCATGACAGCCTACAATTGCCGCAATCCCCAGAAAATGTTTGAAATCGTAGAGGATCACAGGTGTATGAAGGAATGGCAGCCACTGTGCCTGGAGTCGGATCTCAAAGAGTTTGGCTTGTGAAAGGGTTTTCAAGGGAGAGGTTGGAGACTTACAAATAAATAAACCCCAAAAATACAAATAAAATATTTTATTTTATAAATGCAATCTTAAATATTATTTAAATTAAAATGTAGTCTTACATTCATTGAATGAAAAATTCTACAAGTTTACAAAAGCAACATTATATTATCAAAAATTGGGAAAGATAAGTCAAATGATGTCCTTGCAAGTGTTCTTCAATTACCTGTCGAAAAACAGAGTGTGTATCTGCATTATTATGCCTCTAATTAACTGAAGGTACACATTCCCATATACCTACCTAGGTACATGTTTATCCTGGCCACACTTTTTGGCCAGGCTCTTACAGCCTTCGCCATCTCATCAGCATAAAAGTTTTTAATGAGCCATTCCACCTACATATACACACAAGGGGCTGAAAATGGGGTTGTTACTCAGATGTGAGACGAATTTGTTATGACAAGCTCAGTTGACACATTTTAATTAAATTTAATTAATGCATTCAGGAGCATCCAGCCACCGTGGCATAAGCCAAAAACGTAATGCTACCACAGAGTGGATGAGCTTTAAACTGGGGGAAAACGAGGAAAATTCTTTGGTTTACAAAGTGTGACATTTGTAGCCTCAGGCAGGCAGTGTTTTTTGTAATTGGAACATGTGTAGGACCTTGACACTTGACACCAACAAGGGGATATGGAAGAGATATAAAAAATATAATCAAAGACTAAGTAAACTTTTCTCCATAATAAAATCAATGAATCCAAATCTTCTTTAAATAATATACTTGATGTACGTTTCTTTATATAAAAATGATATAGGATAAATTTAAAAATAATATGAATTTATAGAGTGATGATCTTAAAGCTTCAGGTCCTCCTCCTTGCAACGCCTCATGCAAACTCCCAGCCGGCAGACATCCTCGTCCGTTGCCCGGAAGGTCGCCTCACGATGCCGGCAATTGTATGTGTCCATCACACACTGATTGGCAAACTCGTGGACACAGAAGCCATTGTGGGCGCACACCGGGATATACTCGTGCTTGGTGCACAACTCATCGCAATTTTCCATGGACTGCGGGGGTATTGGCTCCATTGTGTCCATGGGGGACATGGTGGTCATACCACCCATTAGCAGGTGATGACAATTCCTGGTTGGTACTCGCTTGGTTATGGCCGAAGGCGATGTAGTGGTTGGACTTGGTGGCATCACTGCAACTGGCTTGAGTTCGGAGGCATCGGGTATAGGGATGCCAGGGTTGGGGATTCCATGATTGGGGATGCCAGGGTTGGGGATTCCATGATTGGGGATGCCAGGATTGGGTATTCCATCGTTCGGGATGCCACGGTTAGGGATTCCATGATTAGGGATGCCAGGATTGGGAATGCCATGATTGGGGATGCCAGGATTAGGGATTCCATCGTTCGGGATGCCACGGTTAGGGATTCCATGATTAGGGATGCCAGGATTGGGGATTCCATGGTTAGGGATTCCAGGATTGGGGATTCCGTCATTCGGAATGCCACGGTTAGGTATTCCATGGTTTGGGATGCCACGATTGGGTATGCCATGATTATATCCTCCAGAGCTCGAAACAGATCTTGCCATCCGTACTTTATTCTCCATCTTAACCGTGGGTGGCACCACCACCTCCTGGACTACATGGACCTTTCCCGGCTTAATCTCCTCCACAGTGGCCACCTCCTCCCTGTCCTGATTGTTAAGGATCACTGGCTTTCCATTAGACAGCAACGGCACCTGGATGGTAATGCGACCGATTTCTGTATTTGGCACAACCTGCGCTGTGGCGAAGACAACACACAGCAGCACTGAAAGAAATTATGAGCAATTTTAGTAGTAACTCTCAAGGATATTTGGATATTATTTATAATATGACATCCTTGTCCCACCTGCGGCCAAAGGATAACAAGTCTTGAGCATTTTGCAACTTCAACTCCAATGTCTTCTCTGTCCTTTTGAGTTGAGATCAACTCTTCTTATATAACAATCTGAAAATCATTAAAATCTTACGCAATATTCTGAACCAGTTATCATCCAGCCGCTTCCTTAATAAATTTGCATTCATTTGAGGCATTGTCTTGGAACGGGTTTTCATTCAATTAGCAAAACGCTTTGGTTTTAGGGCCGCACCAAAAAAAAGAAGAGGCTTGGTCACTTAATTTTTTATAAAATATTTATCCGTTTTTATTTTGACATAAGTTTTGCGTATTGTAAATTAATTTTAAAAATTCCATGTTATTTTTCACATTTACTTAGTATGTCATTAAAATTTATGGACTTCTTTTCTATATTAAGTGTTTAACTAGGCCTTAAAACACTTTAAAAACCTTTGTTTAAGGCAATCAAATTTTGATTAATGTTTTCTTTTTGAATCTTAACTTTGCTGGGTTACTAACATATATATATATTTTAGCTATAGTTTAGGGTTGACCGCTGGAGTTAGACTATTAGGGATCGCATTTTCAAAACAAAAGAGACCTTGGATCCCTAAATGTTTGCACATTACGTCCTTTTAATGTTCAGTTATTTATAAATATATATATTCAGAGTATGTTTAAGTTTCAACTGCTGTGCTATACATTGACATATGTTTTGAGAGTTATGTTTTAAATATATAGTATATATAGTATATGTAAGATCCACTTTAAACTAAAACACCGACTGCATATCCTGGGATTGTCCATACCATAAACGCAAATTTTTCTTCGATCAATCTTTTTTTCTGATAACTACTTTAGGGGCAAACTTAAGAAGATTTTTCAAGTGAAACTTCAAAAATGTGTTAAAATATCATTTAAACTTTTAAAAATATGTAAAAAACTCCAGTTAAAAACCTTCTCAGCTGCTCTAAATCAACAAAATTGGAATTAAACTCCTAACAAACATTAACACTTCATAAAAGTTCTTCAATTTCAATCAGAGATAAAATAATGGGTCTCCATTTTTAGTTAGTTTTTTTGTTGTGTAAAGAATAAACATGCATTTAAGACTTATAAACTAACAAGATTTATGGTTAACACTCACTATACAAGACTCAAGTTATACATTTTACAGAATTTCAGGCTCTCTCACTTTTTACAAAACATTTAAGGATCTTCTTCTTTTTGACATACAATCTTTGTGTTCTCTTTCAGTGTTGTTCTGTTTTGGTTTTTTAAAAAAGAGTACAATAATTTTTGTTATAAAATAAATTACTTCTTAAATGTAAGGCATAAATACATGTATATATATATAAAGTTTAGCTTAAAAAGTTAACATAAAGGTATTATTTAGTTAGTTTAGTGTTTAGTGTTTAGTGTTAGGTGGTAAGGTGGCATTGGGGTTGCTCCTAACGCTCACTTCCTTTCCATGGGTTTGACCTCCAGCAGCTGAGGATAGTTCTCCACGATATTGAGTAGGATTGTATCGATATAATGCTTTAGCCGAACATTTTCATCCTCTTTTTCCTGGAAGGCCTGTTGCAGCTGCAAAATATATTTTTATTATTAATTATTATAAAATATTAAAATATATTTAAACAGAGATTAAAGAGTTTTTTAATATATACACATAATGAAATGAATGTTAAAAATGTCCTGGATGAGTTTTTGATAAATTAGAAGACCATGAACCATTTTAAAATGTAAAATTTAGATTTAGATTTAAATTTAAGTTTTAGTTGCAAGTTGAAAACTGCTTTGCGTGCTCAATAGCTCCGAAACCGTGTTTTAATCATAAGTTTTTCTGTTTTGTTTTTGTGGTTTTGGCGTGATTGAAGCATTACCTGACTTAAGGATGCTAATGTGGCTGAATCCACAGAATCCTGTAATACAATAAATGTCATTTTAAATATGGATAAAAAATATATATTTATAAAGTTTCAAAAATTAAATGCAGGGCAGGTACTTTAGGGTTTCTACTAGCGTCTTCTTGGGGTTTTCTATTGCGGTGACTGTGCGTATTGTGTGTAACTAGACTGTGTTTGGATGATGGATTTTGGACTATACTAAAAAGCATAAGCGGGAGAGGTCTAAAATCGGTCTTAAGCTACACACCTGGGCTTGTGACATCTCCTCCAGTTCCTGGGCCAAACTATTGAGGGTTCCATTAAGCAAATGGCGACCCTGCTCCACGCCATTGGTCAGCATGGTGGCCTGGTTGCTGAGCATTGTGGCCTGCAGCTCCTCGTTTTGCTCTTCAAGGGCTGTAATATATATAATAAAATTTAATTAAAATTCATTATAAATTTCTATTTACTAAGTAAACTCACTTCGATTCTTCTGGCGCATCTCCTCCAGCTCCTGATGCAGCTCCTCCAGTCTTATGCTCTCCGGCGAGGTTGTAGGCATTGCCCTAGCTCCGCTCTCCTCGCGTGCCTTTTGCAGCTCTCGGCTCAGCTCCAGCATTAGCTCTTCGGCTGACTTCTTGGCCAACTCGTTTTGACGCAACGCCAAGGCCTGCTCCTCATGCTCCTGCTGCAGGGAGGCAATCTGATCGCGGGCCAGCTCTAGCTGTTCCTCGGTGCGGTGGAGATCATTGGCCTGCTTGTCGCACAGGACACGCAGTCGGGCGGCCTCCTCACGCAAAGCTACAGCCTCGATTTCAGTGGCACGGATCTTCATTTGACAGTTTTCATCCTGCAGCGAGGCTTCACGCTCCACGCGGGCCAGGATCTCGCGATGACGCTTCTGTTCCTCGGCCAAACGCTCCTCGGCACGCAGCTCGGACTAGGGAATTTTATATAATTATTATAGTTTTTATAAATAAATCTTAAAGCTTATAATACATACCTCCCGGTACTGCTCTTCCAGCATATGATATCGCGCCTGGAGCACTGCATATTCGGTTTTGGTGCGTGTTGTCCGATCCTCGGCTATATTCTGTGTATCCGATAGATCCTCAACCTTGCGCTGCAGCAATTCCAGCTGAAAAAATAAACAAAATACAAATAAATAAATTATAAAATTAAATTTTAAGGTTTCTTGTAAGACACAACTAACACAATCGTTTTTCATGTGCCGCAAATCGAGTAGCAGATCGTTCACCAACTGCACATCAGCCATGGGATATTTCACATACATTTGCCTATCTAGATATGTATATATTTATATAGCCGAGTTTATGTTTATTTTCCACACATATTTCACGTCTTCTTTTGAGAAAAATTCAAATTATTTGTGCCTCATAGCGCTCAGTCTTTGCTCAGTTGATGGTCGAAGCAGAACTGTCGAGACAGCTTGTTATATTTTTTCAAAACGCACAGAAAATGCTGTTAATTACACTAGTCAGCACAATAAGGAAGCCTATGCATTAGTATTGAACGTTGCTAAATGCAAGAAATAATTAAGTTTCTTTAGTTTTGTTTACAAGTGTCATTTGGCATGCCTTGCCCATATGAATCTCATGAATATTGAGCATACGCCCCGTGTGCCAGCCACTTTTGAAGAAGGCGTTCAAACATTCGGTTAACTATTTGCTGGCATGTGCAAAAAATCTGTTTTCGCTTTTACAGATTGGGATGGCTGCTGTTTTTTTTTTTGTGCACAATTACTCATGACCCACTCCCACACAGATTTAAAAACGCATTCAAACTGAGAGCATGAGCAAGAAGCCTGCTCTTGGAGATAAGAAATGTGCAAGATGAGTGAATAATACAGAAAGTCTGTATATTTGTGATAATAGCAGGGCTATTTTGCATGTTTAATAATATTTATATTATAAATAATATATTTATTACAAGTATTCCAGCAAGAAAGTTTATGTAAAGTAAATCTATATATATTTTTGAGATTACTCCGTGATCAGAGCGTGTTTTAGTATAAAAATAAATAAATAAACTAATAAATAAGTATACTACATTCTTGCTTATAACATTTTTATAGCACCCTCTTGTTTCCTAAGCTCGCAAAAATGTAATTGAAAAGTTCAAATAGCTTTGTGGCAAGTGCCTTTCATTCTGGGTCGCTGCCTCAATAGCTCTCCAACTGTGCAGCATAGGGTTCAATTAGGCTTAATTAAATGCAATTTGCTGGCCAGTTGACATTTTCTATACGTTTTGTTATTGCCCGATTTACAGAGTGTATGACACTATATAGTATTAGATCGCGGAAAGAGCACACACGAACACACAATCGACGTCAAAGGCGGCGCGGCAAGTACTGGGGCCTAGGGCCCCCAAAAACCAAAAACAAATAAAACTCGCGAGGGAATCGAAATGTAGAACCGTTTGGAGAGTGAGAGAAAGACCGGCGGAGAAACTGAGAGAAGAATAAGCCTGCTGAGTCAACTGGCAAAGTACGATATGGACAGGGGTCTCAATTAGGGACTGCGGGTATGTGTACAATGAACCATGCCAAAAAAAAAGTAGCCAAGCATATTATATAGAAACTAGAATTTAAATTAAATGTTTACTGCCGAATTCTGCTGAAAAAAATAGAGACGACAAAGACTGAGAGGGGCAGAACAAATAGCAGCGAAAAAACACAAGTCGCGTCTCATTCAGAAACCGTTTCGGTGTGAACGTAAAATAAACAACAGCAACAAAAAATATAAAAAAAAGAAGAAGAAAAAAACAGAAAGCCATAAAAATAAAATGTTGCCGAGGGCATAAAGTGAAAACAATAAAAGTGTAAGACAAATTGAGTAACAAGTGACGAGGAGTTGAGTAGAGAAAAATATAAAAGAAGAACTTTGAGACTATGAAATACCCGGTAAACAATTTAAAAAAATTTTGTGGCATTCCAAAATAATAATAAATACTTTTGAAAACATTTTGCTAGATTAATAAGACCTATTAATTTGCTAAATATAATTTTATATATATTATTTTATAAATTATATTTAAATAAATATTTTACATGAATATTTTTAAGCAGAAAATTAATATTTTATAACAAAAAAATCAAGATACAAGAAAGAAATTACCTTTAATTATTTTTTTTTATTTTTAAGGTACCCAAAAACAATACGAGATTTATGGCTACTATAGATTTTTTTCATGCGTCACTCTTTTCTTTTTTTTTTCTCCGCCATAAAAAGGTCTTCCCCGAGGTCATTAACAGCCCCTCGACCTCTTTGGTGGCCCTGTGATTTTTCCAGTCTCGTTTTGACAAGCTGAAAGGCACGACAGGTGCGACTGAATGATGGGAAATTTTTAATGACAAGTGCGGAAATATGCAACAGATGTTTGGCTACTATAAAGGTAGCAAGAAAAACATAATGTAAAATAAGGAAAATTGGGGGAAAATTAGGGGAAAAAGAAACTATAAAAAGAACAAGGTGTCAACAAAGAATTGAGGGATAGGATAGATTAAAAGGTATTTACATTTAAATATTCATTTTAATTTATATTAAAATCAATGGTAAAAGGGAAAAGGATATATACAAAATAATTTGGAAATAAATAAAATAGCTTATATAATTCCTTTCAATATATATTCCCATTTATTTTCAAGGTTCTTAATTTCTTAAAACAAAAAAGAAATCAACTTCCTCGTTAACAGCTCATAAATAACGCCCTGAAAAACAATTGGGAAAAAACTTTGAACACCCAGACATTATAATCAGCATTAGCTTTGACCCCAAAAACGAAAATCTTAGCTTGCAACATACACACTCACAATGCTTCCTCCCTTCAGCAATTGTTACATTTATCAAATGAGTTTCCCCATTCGAATATAGTAAACAAATCTAGCATCCGCTGGAGAAATATCGCTTTACAGAAGCCCAGATGCTGACCTCCGGCAAAGAGGCGCTGATAATTGGAATCTCTGGACTCCCATTTGTCGGCACAGAAGTGGAAATACTAAGCTTTATAATTGGTTACATAAAATGCTGGGAATGAAGACTCTATTCTTTTTTTCTCTGCCCTCAAACTAGAGCAATCGCCTTAGAGATTAACGTTCCTTGGTGCTTTTTCTTTTTAATTTTTTCCTCTCCACATGAGCTTGCTTCTGTTACTTTCGTTGACACATTTTCCCTTCACAACTAATCATTAATTTTGTTACAGTTTTTTTTCTTTTAATTTTTTTTCTGTGGTATCATTAGTTTTAGCTTCAACTACTAATTTCTGAAAATACGTCTGTTTTCCTTTTCTTCTCTCATTGATGATTTGTGACTGATGATCTCATTTGACGAAAAGAATATATGGTATATATTTTGTTTATAGTCAGCAGATGTCTGCCAAATTATAAGGCAAACATAACAAGACTTTTTCGACTTTGAAATTTTATTTTTGGTTTAGTTTTCAGCGTTGAGAAAAAGGTAAATATGTCAAGGAAATTGTAAACAAAAGTTCACAGAGTGGGGAAAATATTTGGAAAGGTGGAAACATTTTGGTGAGCAAAGTCTAGGGTTGAAATTACAATTGAAATATTATTTATCATAAGTTTCTTTTGGAAATTTAAGTGAAATATGCCTTAAATTTTAATAATAAGTTATTCTAAATAAATGTTTTGTATTTTTAAAAAAATTTTTTGGCTCTTCAAAGATTACTTCAAGACAGGTTTAGCTTTAGATTTGTATTTATTTAAGTATCCTTAACATTTTATCTCTATATCTGCAGCTTTTTGTAATTTATTATTTATTTAAACACTGAAACATTAAATTTCCTTTCAACAACTCACATCATTTGTCTCCAGCATATTGATTTTCTTTAAAAAGGTTTTCCCCGATTAAACTGTCAAATTTAAATAGAATTTTCCACGAGCAAAACAGTTGAACTTGCGGCCTTTTCAAGTTAGACTAAAGCAAATTGCATTCAATTGCTGCTTATATATGCTTATATACCTAATGAACTGGACATTATTGACAGGCCACAGGTACTGTAATTCACAATATACTATATACTAATGTCATGACATGCTAGGTACAAAAATAAAGTGGGGGACTGCCAAATGAACCCTGAACTTTAGATGAAATTAACCCCTTAATCGGGGGAATGTATAAACCAGCTTACTTGCTCATTGAAATTATCGCAGATTTCGGCACTGAGAGCCCCGTTCATCATGCCTCCAGGTCCGGATCCTCCTGATCCTCCACCACCAACACCAACTCCTCCTCCTCCTCCGCTGCCGCCGTTGCTGTTTTCCTCAAAATCACAGAGTAGTTTGTTCTTGAAATTCTTTAGATTCTCCAATTTGAAACCGTTGGTGTTGGTGTTGTTGGTCTTGTTGTTGAATTTACTTGTTAAATTCTCCAAATTGTAAATCTTATTGTTGTTATGATTGATATGGTTATTGTTGTTCGATTCCAGGCTGTTGTTATTATTGTTCGTCTCCAGTTTGTTTTCAATGAAAACAAGAGAACTGGGTTCCGAGTTCGATGGCACAATATCCTCAAAATCCGCTGGATTAAGGCTAAGGAAGGTCTCCTGATCGATCAGTATGGGTGGATGGTGTTTACCAACACCCAAGCTATAAGCGTTGCTCAGTGGATTCTGAGAGGCACTTGTGTTGAAGCTAAGATTCAGATCCTCTAGACTATCAGTGGATAGCTTCCGATGGTTTTGCTGGGCTCCTCCGATCCTGCACTTGTTGTTCAGATTGTTGTTCCTGTTGCTCTGTTGCTGAGGTGTCGTGGGTCCAACAAACTCGAACTGGCCCGCCCACATATCATAGGCTAAGTCGATACTGTCGGGCTGGCTGGCAGGTTGACTACTCATGGTTTTAGTTAGTAGTTTTTCTTCCACGTTTGTTCTTTCTTTTTTTTTTGGCTGAATGGTTTTACTGGGGCGTGGCACTGGTTTTAGGGGGCGGTTTGTATGTTTTTACACTTTATTTTCACTTGTTTTGATATTTTTATATACTTTTGAGTGGGAAGACTGTGTTTTGTCTTAACTTTGTAGGCACATTATTCAGATATTTTGGGGTTCACTTGAGTTTTCTTAACTCTCAATCATTTTTAAGGCACTTTTCTGGGCATATTT